AGGGTTATAATGAGGGTCAGAATAAGGATCACGAGGAACAGATTAAGGTCACAAGGGTCTAAACAAGGGTCACGAGGGTTATAATGAGGGTCAGAATAAGGGTCACGATGAACAGATTAAGGGTGACAAGAGTCTAAATAAGCGTCACGAGTCTCATAATGAGGGTCAGAAAAAGAGTTGCGAGGGTTATAATGAGGGTCAAAATAAGGGTCACAACGGTGAGGTTAAGGGTCGCAAAACTCTAAATAAGGGTCGCGAGGGTTATAATGAGGGTCAAAATAAGGGTCACAAGGGTGAGGTTAACGGTCGCAAGTCTCTAAATAAGGGTCACGAGGGTTATAATGAGGGGCAGAATAAGGGTCACGATGAACAGATTAAGGGTGACAAGGGTCTAAATAAGAGTCACGAGGCTCATAATGAGGGTCAGAAAAAGCGTCACGAGGATTATAATGAGGGTCAAAATAAGGGTCACAACGGTGAGGTTAAGGGTCGCAAGGCTCTAAATGAGGGTCACAAGGGTTATAATGAGGGTCAGAATAAGGATCATGAGGAACAGATTAAGGTCACAAGGGTCTAAACAAGGGTCACGAGGGTTATAATGAGGGTCAGAATATGGGTCACGATGAACAGATTAAGGGTGATAAGGGTCTAAATAAGAGTCACGAGGCTCATAATGAGGGTCAGAAAAAGTCGCGAGGGTTATAATGAGGGTCAAAATAAGGGTCACAACGGTGAGGTTAAGGGTCGCAAGGCTCTAAATAAGGGTCACGAGGGTTATAATGAGGGTCAGAATAAGGATCATGAGGAACAGATTAAGGTCACAAGGGTCTAAACAAGGGTCACGAGGGTTATAATGAGGGTCAGAATATGGGTCACGATGAACAGATTAAGGGTGATAAGGGTCTAAATAAGAGTCACGAGGCTCATAATGAGTGTCAGAAAAAGGGTCACGAGGATTATAATGAGGGTCAAAATAAGGGTCACAAGGGTGAGGTTAAGGGTCGCAAAACTCTAAATAAGGGTCACGAGGGTTATAATGAGGGTCAGAATAAGGATCACGAGGAACAGATTAAGGTCACAAGGGTCTAAACAAGGGTCACGAGGGTTATAATGAGGGTCAGAATAAGGGTCACGATGAACAGATTAAGGGTGACAAGAGTCTAAATAAGCGTCACGAGTCTCATAATGAGGGTCAGAAAAAGAGTCGCGAGGGTTATAATGAGGGTCAAAATAAGGGTCACAACGGTGAGGTTAAGGGTCGCAAGGCTCTAAATGAGGGTCACAAGGGTTATAATGAGGGTCAGAATAAGGATCATGAGGAACAGATTAAGGTCACAAGGGTCTAAATAAGGGTCACGAGGGTTATAATGAGGGTCAGAATAAGGATCATGAGGAACAGATTAAGGTCACAAGGGTCTAAACAAGGGTCACGAGGGTTATAATGAGGGTCAGAATATGGGTCACGATGAACAGATTAAGGGTGATAAGGGTCTAAATAAGAGTCACGAGGCTCATAATGAGTGTCAGAAAAAGGGTCACGAGGATTATAATGAGGGTCAAAATAAGGGTCACAAGGGTGAGGTTAAGGGTCGCAAAACTCTAAATGAGGGTCACAAGGGTTATAATGAGGGTCAGAATAAGGATCACGAGGAACAGATTAAGGTCACAAGGGTCTAAACAAGGGTCACGAGGGTTATAATGAGGGTCAGAATAAGGGTCACGATGAACAGATTAAGGGTGACAAGAGTCTAAATAAGGGTCACGAGTCTCATAATGAGGGTCAGAAAAAGAGTCGCGAGGGTTATAATGAGGGTCAAAATAAGGGTCACAACGGTGAGGTTAAGGGTCGCAAGGCTCTAAATGAGGGTCACAAGGGTTATAATGAGGGTCAGAATAAGGATCATGAGGAACAGATTAAGGTCACAAGGGTCTAAACAAGGGTCACGAGGGTTATAATGAGGGTCAGAATATGGGTCACGATGAACAGATTAAGGGTGATAAGGGTCTAAATAAGAGTCACGAGGCTCATAATGAGTGTCAGAAAAAGGGTCACGAGGATTATAATGAGGGTCAAAATAAGGGTCACAAGGGTGAGGTTAAGGGTCGCAAAACTCTAAATAAGGGTCACGAGGGTTATAATGAGGGTCAGAATAAGGATCACGAGGAACAGATTAAGGTCACAAGGGTCTAAACAAGGGTCACGAAAGTTATAATGAGGGTCAGAATAAGGGTCACGATGAACAGATTAAGGGTGACAAGAGTCTAAATAAGAATCACGAGTCTCATAATGAGGGTCAGAAAAAGAGTCGCGAGGGTTATAATGAGAGTCAAAATAAGGGTCACAAGGGTGAGGTTAACGGTCGCAAGTCTCTAAATAAGGGTCATACGAGTAAAAAAAAGATGAGAACAAAACGACAGGGGTCACAAGAGTCCAAATAGGGTCACGAGTGTTATAATGAGTGTCAGAAAAAGGGTCACAATAAAGGTCATGGGAGTCAAAATGAGGGTCAGAATAAGGGTCAAGGGGGTCATATAGAGCTCTATATATTATCAAAGAGTGACAAGGGACTAAATAAGGGTCACGAGGGTTATAATGAGGTTCAGAGTAAGGGTCGTAAGGATCTAAATAAGAGTTATAGGAATAAAATACGGGTCACAATACAATGACATGGGTCACGAGGGACAGATTAAGGGTTACAAAGATCAGATTAAAAGTCGCAATGGAGGTCATGGGAGTCAAAATAAGGGTAATGGAGGTCATATAAGACTCTCGCTATATTATCAAAGGGTCAAAAGAGTCCGAACAAGGGTTAAAAGGATTATAATGAGGGTCAGATTAAGGATCGCAAGGGTGTAAATAAGGGTCATGGGGGTAAAAATAAGGGTCAGAATAATTGTCATGGGGTCATATGAGAGTTAGCCAGCGGAGCGAGCAGGGGGTGTAACCCCCAGTCGAATCCTATTTTTCATCACAATGTGCGAAAAGTGAGTTTTCATCACGCTGTGACGAAAAGTGAACTTTTCGGCACGCTCCGCGTACCTAAAAGTCCAATTTCCGCCACATTGTGATGAAAAATATTGTTCGTCACTCGTGAAAAAATGTTTCTTAGCCCGTGGGATTATATGACTCGCCTTCGGCTCGTGATATAAACCTCCCACTCGCCAAAAAACACTTTTTTGCACTCGTTACGACATATACTATTTTACACAGGGCGTATTGGGATATGGAATACAATAACTCGATAGATTTATATTATTTTTCATCACGCTGTGACGAAAAGTGAACTTTTCGGCACGCTCCGCGTGCCTAAAAGTCCAATTTCCGCCACATTGTGATGAAAAATATTGTTCGTAACTCGTGAAAAAATGTTTTTTGCACACGTTACGAAATATACTATTTCATCACGCTGTGCGAAAAAGTAACTTTTAAGATACGCTTCACGTGCCTAAAACGTCACTTTTCCACACATTGGGATGAAAAATATCGTTCGATACTGGTGGGAAAAGTGTTTTTTGGCTCGTGGGAGGTTTATAGCACGAGCCGAAGGCAAAAAACTCTTTTCCGCACTCGTAACGAAATATACTATTTCATCACGCTGTGACGAAAAGTGAACTTTTCGGCACGCTCCGCGTGCCTAAAAGTCCAATTTCCGCCACATTGTGATGAAAAATATCGTTCGATACTGGTGGGAAAAGTGTTTTTTGGCTCGTGGGAGGTTTATAGCACGAGCCGAAGGCAAAAAACTCTTTTCCGCACTCGTAACGAAATATATATCATCACGCTGTGCGAAAAAGTAACTTTTTTGGCACGCGAAGCACACGCCCCTTTCCACATATTGTGATGAAATAGTATATATACGAACAATATTTTTCATCACAATGTGGCGGAAATTGGATTTTTAGGCACGCGGAGCGTGCCGAAAAGTTCACTTGTCGTCACAGCGTGATGAAAAATATCGTTCGATACTTGTGGCAAAAGTGTTTTTTGGCTCGTGGGATTATATCATTCGCCTTCGGCTCGTGCTATAAACCTCCCACGAGCCAAAAAACTCTTTTTCGCACTCGTAACGAAATATACTATTTCATCACAATGCGTGGGAAAGGGACTTTTAAGCACGTGGAGCGTGTCTGAAAGTCACTTTTCCACACAGCGTGATGAAAATATACGTTTCAGCTCCATCATGAATATTCCCCCAATCCAACAAGCCGGCATGCAGATGGGACAGATGCCCCAGCCCAACAACCCCCAGATGTCCCAGAACCCCCAACAAGTCCAGCAGCAACAACAGCAGCAGCAACAACAGGCTCAAGAGAAACTGGACAACATCTCCAAGGTGAAGTCCCTCGTGGGTCCCTTGAAGGAGTCCCTGGCGATAGCCATGAAGTCGGCGGCCCAGACCTTCCACCAGAATAGTCTAGTGGACGTCGGCTCACTCAAGGGCATCGAGCCAACCGACCATCGGTTCAACAAGAACTTCGAGGAGTTCTTTTCGATCTGCGATCAGATCGAGCTGCATCTCAAGACTTCGATTGAATGCTTGTCACAGAACTCTAGTTCTGTGAGGTATCAGCCGATGGCCGTGGTTCCCACCAGGGTCGAGCCTGTTTCCAATCAGGAGGGACCTGCACTGACTTATCCACAGTTCCTCATGACTGTTAAAGCTCAGGTCGGGTTCTTCAGGGAGGTTCATGACACTTTGGTCACTGCTGCTCATGCTATATCTGATTGAGGCTTGGAGTAGAATGTTTTTGTAAATAGGTAGAGGGCAATTCGTGGAAGATGAAGAAATCTTTTTTGTAGGGACGAACATCTCTGCGTCAAATGTATTTTCACTTCTTGCTGTGAAGTCTCTTGGGTTTAGGGGGAGAAGTGGAATGATCTCTTTGTTATAACCACTCCGTTGGGGATGGTAATTGATCAGAGCAGATAGTGCAGAATGAAAGTTGATGATGATTATGTAATGATTGTGGAAGTTTTGTGCATAATAAATATGTGATTTTTTTCAACAATTTTCGAAAAATTGTTTTTTTATTCGTTTATGGGAAGTGAAATGAATTCTTTGTTGATATTTTTTTCACCTCCTGTTTTTTCATTATTATTCAGGTTCGTAATCAGAGGATTATTAATTAATTTCAGTAAACAATTGAGTGGATTCAATCATTTTATGCGTTTTAGATTAATGCAGTTGATTTTTCAAGGTTGTCGTCTCCCATTTGTAGGGAAAAGAATTCCTTTGATCACTGTTGAGATCTTGAGATTACCTTTCGATTGTCTTTAGCCTCACAACAAAATGGATCAATTCCTACTCTGCCAATGACATCAAGATACCTCAACAAACTGCAAAAATAGTATTTGAAATCTCTCTACTCATATTAATTCCGCAATTAATCAACTTTCCCAGAGTAAAAAATTTTTTCTAAAAAAAGAATTGATTCCCTCCTCCCTAATATGGCCCCAGTAATTATTCACAATAATTACCGCACATTATTTATCTCCATTAATGGATTTGGTTTCCTAATTTTTCAAGTCCTCATTAATATGAGAAAATTCCAATGCTCATTGTGGATCTGTGAGATAGCTCAATTGGTAAGAGCATCAGCCCTCTAATCTGAAGGTTGTGAATTTGAATCCCACTTCACGTAAAATACAAATATTCGTTCGTTCTGATGGTAATTAGTAATCACATGGTCGATTATTCTAATACAATTTCCGGGATCTGCAGAATCAATATATTTTTCCATTTTTCTGAATCACGATTGTCTTTATCTTCATAATAAAATGTGTCAACTCCTACTCTGCCAATGACATCAAGATACCTCAACAAACTGCAAAAATAGTGTTTGAAATCTCTCTCATATTAATTCCGCAATTAATCAACTTTCCCAGAGTAAAAAATTTTTTCTAAAAAAAGAATTGATTCCCTCCTCCCTAATATGGCCCCAGTAATTATTCACAATAATTACCGCACATTATTTATCTCCATTAATGGATTTGGTTTCCTAATTTTTCAAGTCCTCATTAATATGAGAAAATTCCAATGCTCATTGTGGATCTGTGAGATAGCTCAATTGGTAAGAGCATCAGCCCTCTAATCTGAAGGTTGTGAATTTGAATCCCACCTCACGTAAAATACAAATATTCGTTCGTTCTGATGGTAATTAGTAATCACATGGTCGATTATTCTAATACAATTTCCGGGATCTGCAGAATCAATATATTTTTCCATTTTTCTGAATCACGATTGTCTTTATCTTCATAATAAAATGTGTCAACTCCTACTCTGCCAATGACATCAAGATACCTCAACAAACTGCAAAAATAGTGTTTGAAATCTCTCTCATATTAATTCCGCAATTAATCAACTTTCCCAGAGTAAAAAATTTTTTCTAAAAAAAGAATTGATTCCCTCCTCCCTAATATGGCCCCAGTAATTATTCACAATAATTACCGCACATTATTTATCTCCATTAATGGATTTGGTTTCCTAATTTTTCAAGTCCTCATTAATATGAGAAAATTCCAATGCTCATTGTGGATCTGTGAGATAGCTCAATTGGTAAGAGCATCAGCCCTCTAATCTGAAGGTTGTGAATTTGAATCCCACCTCACGTAAAATACAAATATTCGTTCGTTCTGATGGTAATTAGTAATCACATGGTCGATTATTCTAATACAATTTCCGGGATCTGCAGAATCAATATATTTTTCCATTTTTCTGAATCACGATTGTCTTTATCTTCATAATAAAATGTGTCAACTCCTACTCTGCCAATGACATCAAGATACCTCAACAAACTGCAAAAATAGTGTTTGAAATCTCTCTCATATTAATTCCGCAATTAATCAACTTTCCCAGAGTAAAAAATTTTTTCTAAAAAAAGAATTGATTCCCTCCTCCCTAATATGGCCCCAGTAATTATTCACAATAATTACCGCACATTATTTATCTCCATTAATGGATTTAGTTTCCTAATTTTTCAAGTCCTCATTAATATGAGAAAATTCCAATGCTGATTGTGGATCTCTGAGATAGCTCAATTGGTAAGAGCATCAGCCCTCTAATCTGAAGGTTGTGGATTTGAATCCCACCTCACGTAAAATACAAATATTCGTTCGTTCTGATGGTAATTAGTAATCACATGGTCGATTATTCTAATACAATTTCCGGGATCTGCAGAATCAATATATTTTTCCATTTTTCTGAATCCCGATTGTCTTTATCTTCATAACAAAATGTGTCAACTCCTATTCTGTCAATAACATCAAGACACCTCAACAAATTGCAAACTTTTAAAATCTCTCCCCCTCATCGTAATTCATCAATTAATTAACTTTTCCAGAACATACACTTTTTCCTAAAAAAATAATTAATTCTCCCCTCCCCTCCCCGCAAAACCCCAGTAATTTTTCACAAGAATTACCCCACACTATCCATCTCCATCTTCCACCGCAAAAAATTCGACAAAAAAATGGGAAACCTAGTGGCTGCAGTTCTCATATGTCTAAACACTTCCATTTACGTGAAATAAATAAAATTCATACAAAAATGATAATCATCACCTCATTATACCACCCTGGGCGCATAGAATGGGTGGCAACGGGTGTAACGATCCTTGTCATCCCAGATACAAAAAAAGGAAAAAACAAACAATCGTATAATGAAAAAATTATTACACCTGACGGCTGTTTGACTTGCACGTTACGGAATTGTTATCCAGTGGAGACGCAAAAAATTGTATTTATTACTTAAGGTGGGAGGTAAACCGTGACGCCTTGCTCCTATGTATTGCTGGTAAACTCACCAGATATTTTTCTCATTTGTGTAGAAATCATAGTAGAATATGCAATTATTGAAATTTTATTTCAATGAAAAAAACGATACGAGTTAAGGCCAGGGAAGCCATTGATTATTTTTTATGTGAATAATAAGACAGTTTGTAAATTTAATTCGACTTTCATGTTAATATTACACGATTATTTGCTGCGAATGAAGAAATTAAAATGGAGGAACTAATTGCTTCTTTGGTTTTTGCGGATTCTCCTTATGAATTTTGTGAAGACAGGAGGTTGGGGTTGAAAACGACCCCATTAGATAGTCAGGTAAATTTCAGATGAAAAACACTGGTTATGAAGCCATTTTGTTCCGTTAGTTTTCGCGATATTGAAAAAGAAAAAAATGGCCTCCTCAAGTTTTTTATGTTGTTCTTCGCAGAAATAATGGGCAGAACGGATTCATGACCAGAGTTTCGAAACGTAAATTTTTCGGGCTCTCCAACGAGACAATTTTCCCTCATTTTCGTTGAAAACTTGCCGAAATAATCGACTTTGTTGGAGGAGGGGAAATAATCTAACTTGGGATTTTTATCCGCGAACGCTTTTTCGATCGAGTCAAACAGCTTCTGGAGGATTTTGGCTGTTGGAATGCAATTCAGTGGGCTGAAAGCACTTCCCTCCCCAAAAAAGCGTGCTTTCATTCTAAAAGGGGAGGGTATAAGTTCTATTATTAATGTCAGCTGTTGCATGGTTACCAAGCAACTCCAACTTATACACCAGTTATTATAACATCATTCTCTCAACGTATCCTCTTCAAACTAATGACTATTTATACCCGTAAATATATTTTAAACATCCAAAAATATTTCCTACCCCACCCACTCCCAAAGTTGACCAACGCCTATGAAAAAAAAAACTCAAATTGTAGTGCAAAATTGTATGTAAACTCTACATCGTAAAGAGCATTTTTAGAATTCACATCTGGATGAAACAAGAATCGAGAGTACGGTAAAGGATTTTACAACTCGACCCAAAGATCTACAAAAATCTAAATCAAACTTTATAAAAAAAAAATTTTTTTCAATCCAATATTTTCTTAAACATCTCAGGTTGTCTGAGAGATCGAAGAGATTTCAATCCGCTCTCCAATTAATCGTAAACCCCACCTCCGCCTCCCCACCCACGCAAAAAATTTCTCCAGACCGAAAAAAAAATCATGGCCCCCGAAAAAAATTTTACCAAAAACCAAAATTTCCACTTTTGCCCTCAAACCTCCGAAGAATAAACAATTCCACCCGCCGACCCCCCCTATAACCCTTCCCACCCCCCCTCTCCGGCCCCCCTCCCCCCCTATACTCATCCCAGGTTATCCCTCCTGACAGTTCGATTGGTGTTTTGCCGCGTCTCTCGGCTCTCGCATTCGAAAAGGAAGGACCACCTCTGTTAACCATATTTGGATAACTTTTCCTAATATGGTAACGTCTACTTCTAAATATGGCAGCCGGGGACGCCCTCTCACCGCCAAGTGTAACCCTCCGCGTGTAAATTCTCCGGTCTCTCCCGCTGGAATTCCCCCCAGAAATTCCCCAAAAGTGGGTCAACGGGACTTCCGAATGTGCCCTATATTTCCCTAGGGGAAAAAACCCCACCCTTAAGGGGCGAATTAACCCCCTGGACTGACCTGGATCTACTTTTTGCCGGCGTTGAGTGCGCGAAGTGGGGGATAATGTGGCGGTTGGTACTCAGGCGGAGGCACAGGCGCTCGCACGTAGGTCAAGTTACGATACTCAATGTTCAGTTTGCGGGGAGCGCTCAGGGAGTGCGCACCATTCGTCCCGTATTTAGCCATAGGTGTACGATCACGTGGCAAATACGTAGGGCATTAAATAACTCAAGTGTTGAAACAAAACATTGAAAAAAGTATAAAAAGCCCCAGACACCCTAGTGCACCGGAAAACCCCCTAGAAAGCGAAAAAATAAACTAGGAAATTCCCCAGAACAGTTTTTCCCATCTCTGGGATATTTAGGATTTCTGGTAAATCCTTAAGGTTGTTCAGTCCCTTGTTGATTTTGAGGTTAAGTGGCCTGTGTTTGGTGTTTTGGTAATAGAAAAAAAATATAATTTAGATGTGCGCGTATCCGTGATGGAAAATCCGAGCGGCGGTAGGGACAGTCGGTACACGGCACTTGGATACAACATGGGTATGATGGGTAGTGATGCTGGTGAGATGTACGGACGACCGTCTACATCGCAGCTGGGTGCCTCCCAGATTGGCCGCGGTGGCGCCACCATGATGAGCCCACCTGGTAATACAGGGGGTAGTGGTACCGGTGTTGGGGTGCCGAGGGGGCTGAAGAGATCTTCATCTGATGTTTGTTATGATGATAATGGGAGACAATTGGGGCAGGGACAAATGATGCAGGGGGATTGTGTGCCGGATAATATTGAGGAGTCGTTTACCAATTTGGGAGCACCGAAAAAATCACCACCGAGCAATGGGAAGAAGACCAAGGGCAGGGTGAAGATCAAGATGGAGTATATTGATAATAAATTGAGGAGGTATACCACATTTTCGAAGAGGAAAACTGGAATTATGAAGAAGGTTTGTTGAAATTTTATTGGCATTAATTTTTTCTGCGGAGAATCGCTGTTCCAAGATTTTCTAGGGATTTTTTCGGATTTTGGAGGAGGTGGTTTTGAAAATCGGGGAATCCCAATTGTTGTCAGGACGGTTGAGTGGCTCTAGGGATTTTTGGGGAAAAATGGGAATTTGAGTTCTTGATCTGTAGTTTTCTACAAGTTTTGAGAACGATTTGTGCCAAGCTAGCTGGAAAGATTCAAGCTATCAATCACCATTTACTTTATCCTTGAAAGTAAACTCCCTTCAATTTTTTATCTGAATAATGTCCACCCAAAACAGTCGTCTATGCCTCTTCCAAATCATGATGAAGTAGTCATCCATTCTAAAGAAGCCCTTCATGGTGCATCGACTTGAAAGCGGTTTTTCTTCTTAATATTTTCTAGGCGTACGAGCTGTCAACCCTAACAGGTACCCAAGTGATGCTGTTGGTAGCCAGTGAAACAGGTCACGTGTACACATTTGCGACCCGCAAACTTCAGCCAATGATAACGAGTGAGGCGGGCAAGGCTCTGATCCAAACCTGTCTCAACAGTCCAGACCCACCACCGTCCGGTTCTTCGGGTGATCAACGAATGTCAGCAACGGGTTTCGAGGAGACTGAGTTGACATACAACATCGCCGACGACGAGCAGAAAGTAAGACAACTGGTCTATGGATCACCGCATGGTGGTGCACTACACGGTGGTTATCCTGGTGCTGGTGGACCGCCAGTGTCACAGCATGGCCCACCACATTCACAGCACGCCCAGCATGCGCATTTGATAGCGCATGCACACGCTGGCTCGCCAAGCTCCCATCTTGTGCCCTGCTCGAGTCCTGGACCAATGCTAGCTGGAGGACCCTATCAGCAGTCATGTCCATCGCCATTACCACCACCTCATGCCGCTTATCATCCGCATATGTCGCACTCGCATCCCCAACGGTAGTAGAAAGAACGAAAAAGAAAGAAAATGGATAGTTATGGCTAGGGAATTGATAGTTTGGAATTTTTTTTAAAGTGGAAACTTGACTGTTTTGGGAAAAGCCCCTGGTTGAAACGACGAAAAATATTGCAGAATGATTAAGAAGAGACGAAGAAAATGAATGGTTTGATTTTTTTGGCATTAAAAAAAATTGGAGAATTTGGTCTTCTCTTAGGATATTGTGACCTGCGAGGAAAGATGACTAAATGATTGAAAAGCTTGGAACTAAGATGAATCGCAATGAGATCGTACAATTATTTGAAGGCTTGTCTGGAAATTCATAATTTTTCATGAAGAAATTGAACGAAAAAAGAATTGAAACCACGTAAAAAAATTGTCATCACAATTTCATGGTAACCGATATAATCAAGTGGCAGGTTTTGAACTCACAAATTTTAGATTATGGGACTGATGCTCTGCCTGTGTTAGCTCTTACCAATTGAGCTAACACAGGTCCTATAAACAAAGCTCATTCATAATTTTCCATGAAGAAATGTAATGACAAAAATCTGAAATCACCTAAAAAAAATTATTATCACAATTTGATAGTAACCGATATAATCCAGTCGCAGGTTTTGAACCCACAAATTTTAAATTATGGGACTGATGCTCTTACCAATTGAGCTAACACAGGTCCTATAAACAAAGCTCATTCATAATTTTCCAGGAAGAAATGTAATGACAAAACTCTGAAATCACCTAAAAAAAATTATCACAATTTGATAGTAACCGATATAATCCAGTGGCAGGTTTTGAACCCACAAATTTCAGATTATGGGACTGATGCTCTTACCAATTGAGCTAACACAGGTCCTACTAACAAAGCTCACTCATAATTTTCCATGAAGAAGTGTAATGACAAAAATCTGAAATCATCTAAAAAAAATTATTATCACAATTTGATAGTAACCGATATAATCCAGTGGCAGGGTTTGAACCCACAAATTTTAGATTATGGGACTGATGCTCTTACCAATTGAGCTAACACAGGTTCTACAAACAAAGCTCATTCATAATTTTCCATGCAGAAATGTAATGACAAAAATCTGAAATCACCTACAAAAATTATCACAATTTGATAGTCACCGATATAATCCAGTGGCAGGGTTTGAACCCACAAATTTTAGATTATGGGACTGATGCTCTTACCAATTGAGCTAACACAGGTTCTACAAACAAAGCTCATTCATAATCTTCCATGAAGAAATGTAATGACAAAAATCTGAAATCACCTAAAAAAATTATCACAATTTGATAGTAACCGATATAATCCAGTGGCAGGTTTTGAACCCACAAATTTTAAATTATGGGACTGATGCTCTTACCAATTGAGCTAACATAGTTCCTACAAACAAAGCTCATTCATAATCTTCCATGAAGAAATGTAATGACAAAACTCTGAAATCACCTAAAAAAAATTATTATCATAATTTGATAGTAACCGATATAATCCAGTGGCAGGTTTTGAACCCACAAATTTTAAATTATGGGACTGATGCTCTTACCAATTGAGCTAACATAGTTCCTACAAACAAAGCTCATTCATAATCTTCCATGAAGAAATGTAATGACAAAACTCTGAAATCACCTAAAAAAAATTATTATCATAATTTGATAGTAACCGATATAATCCAGTGGCAGGTTTTGAACCCACAAATTTTAGATTATGGGACTGATGCTCTTACCAATTGAGCTAACAGAGGTCCTACAAACAAAGCTCATTCATAATTTTCCATGAAGAAATGTAATGAGAAAAATCTGAAACCACCTAAAAAAAAATATTATCACAATTTGATAGTAACCGATATAATCAAGTAGCAGGTTTTGAACTCACAACCTTCAGCTTATGAGACCGATGCTCTTACCAATTTCGCTACCACAAGTCCTGCAAACAGAACTCATAGAACTACACCACTTCCGTTGAAACGGAGGAAAAACTGAAAAAATCGACGAAACATTCATTTTCTCTGTCTCCACTTAGTTTGACGCGTTAACAACTCCAAAGACCCGACGCCATAATTCCCCACAATCAATTGAAAAAAAAAACTTAGGCATTTTTTTGAACGCGTGTGATCCATTCATCACTTTCAATTGTACAGAATCTATAATTCTCCTGACGGAATTTTCCCTTTTTAATTAGGTTTCAATCCGCACTTCTACATTATTTAAACGAGTATTTATTAACGCTTCCCTGTACATATTCCGGTTGCCCCTGGAGATTAAAATGAGAAAATACATGAGATGTATCGAATTGAGGTGCGAGTGCTGGATGATTCGGCTGCGGTGCACGGTTGGCGTTGTTACAGTATTTTTGTGCATCGCGCCCCCCTTTCGTACTATTTTTTACATTTTTTTTGTACAGTGTCCCCCCTCCTTTTTGTGTGCTATAGTGGCATGTGTAGTTGGTTTTTCATCCATAGTTTAAGTAGAGAGTACTTAAAATATTTTCTTAACTTAATGCCAATGGCGAACGTTATTTTCCCTCATTAAAGAGGAATCCTAGAATTTTCAACGAATTTCATGAAATTTTCAAATTTTAAATTCTTGTTCTGTTGCATTTCGGCGAATTTTATTAATAATTTATTGGAATAGAGATATTATTTGTTGAATGTATCAAATATGCATGGAAATACATATTACAAAGTCCTAGGATTTCTCGAATTCCGTCCATTTTTGCATGAAATGAATTCAAAAGAATTTTTACTTTTTTATTTAAACTTTTTGATAAATTATTTAAATTATTCTCTCTTGTTAAATACTCATTGTTATAATTTTTTTCAAAGACCAAATCAGCTGCAAGAATTCTGAGCTCTCCCCCCCCCCCCAACAGAGTACAAAATAACGGCGATTATTAAACAAAAAGCGATAAAAAATTAGCAGTAATTTAATATTTTTTCTTGATTTATGAGAAATAACACAAAGTGATCATCAAATGATCATTTATTTCTTTTTCTGTATCACACGTGTACATACATGTACTGTAAAATACTGTGATAATATTTATACTTTGAGTTTTATAATTTTTTTTTAACTATTAAATCGTAAGATTGGTTACAAAGTTTTAGACATGATTTTTTTAAATTTTAAGTTATTTCAAGTTCGTTAGGTGAGTATTTTCGGCTTGTGTTTGCTGTTTTTTTGTGGCTTGTGAGGAGTTTACCTGCATCCTGTCCTAGTCAGTCAGACAATTTATTCATTTTTGTTTGTGCATTTTTTTTTGCATTGTTTTGCATATTTTGTTTGCGATTTTTTGTGCATTTTGCTGGGGGAAAATTTGTTGTTGTGTGGATATTCAAAGGTAGGTGCTGCTTTTTATTCCCAGCTTCTGTTGCTATTTTTTTCAGCTTCCAAACAAAAACGAAACTTGTCAATTTTTATCCGATAAACATTTTTTTTTTCGGCATGACGTTCGCGAGGAAAAAATATACTAAGGCGTAAAAGAATTTTAATTCGATTTTTTCTGTGTCAGAAATTCAGGTGAAATAGTTTTAAAAATAGTGGAATTTAATTCAGTCGAGTGGAATTTTTTTTTTCCATAATTTCGTAATTCCAGCAACAATCCGTACGGGTAAAAGCGATGAAACGGGTGGTGTTGCTAAACACGGCCTTTAGAAAAATAGCATTACGTGGTTTTCGTCCCTAACGATTTGCTGAAGTATTCCAATCGAGAATCGTGCGTTAATTCCCTTGAGATAAATTATATACTGAAAAACGTAAAAATTAGATAAATTAGAAAATTCCTCTTTCCCAATCCTCAATCCGTATTCTTCATTCAAAATAACTCTAGCATATAAATCTAAAAATTCAAGTCCATTTCAAAATCCATTTATTCAAGTTGATGAGTGACTGCTAATGACAATTTTCTCATCACGATTAAAAAAATATTTGACGGTTCCAGTGATGCCTGAAGACATGAATTTCACTTTCAATGACCAATAAAATCAGCCAGTACTTCCGCATCATCAGCCCCACCTAAATTTTCCAACGCTAACGATTTTTAAAAAAATGCCCTTAAAAAAACATCATAAATCATCAAGTCATCACCTCCATCACGACTAATTATCCCCGTTGAAATCACCTCCGGGTGTATTTCAATACGCAATATTTCAATGGAAAATCCGTGGAAAATCTAATGTACCAACCGCACCAGGTGTGCTGCTACGGTCTTATAAATACACGTATGGAAGGTGGAAGCCGTGTGCCATATACGGTCACCTTTGTCAAAGCCCCGACTCTTTCGCCATATAGAGTCAATGGTTTTCTGCAATGCCAGACGCAGGCTCTTATATAGGAGTTGACTTCGAGACCTCGGGGAATGTGAACCATGATTTTTTACTCATTTTTTATTTATATATCGACATGAAACATTTTTATACTTCCAGTGGCGGGGGGGGGGGGGGGGGGGGGGTTTTT